TATTCTTGAGAAGCAAAGTATACTCCCTGTCATAGTCCTAAGGCGTGTGGCTGATATCTGCCCAGAGTTGTGGCAACTATAAATTAACTACAGTGGTGCCTTGCTTAACGATGTTAATTGGTTCCAAAAAAACACATCGCTATGGGAAAACATCGCTAAGCGAAACACGTTTTCCCATAGAGATGCATTGAAAACCGGTTAATCCGTTCCAGCTGTCAAAATCGGGTTCAATGCATTTCAATGGGGGGGGGGGGAATTCGCCAAAAAACCGGTTAATCCGTTCCAGCTGTCAAAATCGGGTTCAATGCATTTCAATGGGGGGGGGGGAAATTCGCCAAAAATTAATGAAGAGTCAGAACAAAGCCAAATTAAGTTTGCACACGTTTTAGAAGGTAGACTAACGATCCCAAACATTTAAAACCGTTTTTGAACGTTTTAAGACACTTTAAAAATAGCGAAAACGGAACATCGGTAAGCGAAATGGGACCTAAAACTGTCATCACTAAGCGAGGCAAGGTCCCGAACATCGCTATGTGAATTTTCCCCATAGGAAACATCGTTAAACGGAGCGCAAAATTGCTCCAAAAACCTCATTGCTAAGTGAATACATCGTTAAATGAGGCAATCGCTAAGCGAGTCACCACTGTATATTGTTGAGTGAAGCTTTCTGTGTTATGTATTCCTCCATTATGGCTTTGAAGTTTGCCTTTGTCTGTAATATAGAAATGAAAAGGATGGGACCATTCTTTGATCTTTTATTTCTCCCTGCCATCATAGGAGAGCACTGAATCTGGGAATTCTTCGAGATCCTGGATCAGAGGTTGAAGACAGGCAGTATCAAATAGATCTTCAGTCCATCAACATTGGTACTGCTCAGTGGGATCAGCTGAAGCCCGAGAAGGAGAATGGTAAAGGGAGGGCAGTACCTGAGAATGAACGAAATTCACAGAATCCAGCACTTGAGTGGAACATGGCCAGTAGGTAAGAAGTGTCTTAAAACATACCATATTTTTTCGTGCATAAGATGATACTTTTGTCTAAAATCTTTAGATTAAAAATTGAGGGTCATCTTATACACCAAAGTAAGGAGGGGGGAAGGGATCAAAGCGCTTTGATCCCTGCTTTCCTCCTCCACTTTCTTCGCAAGAAGATGGAGGGGGAAAGCAGGAATCATCAAGGCACTTTGATTCCTGCGTTCCCCTTCAGCTTGCTAAACGGGCTTAGCAAGAAAGGGGAAAGCAGGAATCAAAGTGATCCTGCAGCACTTTGATCCCTTCTTTCCCCCTTCACTTGCTAAGCCCTGCTTAGATTTCTTAATTTTGGGTTAGAGGGGGGAATGTGTTATACATGGGCGCATGTTATACACTGAAAAATATGGTAAGCCTCATATTCTCTGTACAAAAATGGTAATAGCAATCTGTATATTTGAGCTAAATATTTTGATATGTATACATTTATGTGTGTGTTTGCATTCCACTGCAAACATGTTTTCTATGAGCTAGGGATCTGAACAGTACAAACATAGACGGTTTGTAGCATTGTTGCATTGCAATCACCATACAGAGACAGTTATGTCTACATTTCCATAATAGCTTATTATATGGCCATAAAATCCAACTCGAGGCTGAAACCTGGCATTCACATTTCCAGCCTAGAAACAACAGAGTTATTATCCTTTCTGTGCTTCTACAATGTTTGAACAAAACCAGTTTAGACATTTTTAAGCCAGCAGAGGACAAAAAGATTTTCCCCCCACTCTTTTGGCTCCAAGCCAGTTTTTGTGCTTCTGTAAATGAAAACAGCTGCAATTCCTGAAATGGCAAATTTCCGCTGATTTGTTGATATGCAAAAAAGAGCTTCCAGTTCAGATCTACTTAGAAATGTTACTTTGACATCTTCCATTTTTAGTGTTCCATTTTGATTATACCGCTACACCAGACTTTGATGCTTTTCTCCCAGTTAGAGGTCACAGTAGCCCTCTGTAGATGACATGTTGTGTTCAATAAATGTGGAGAGGGAGTTGGGACTGTGTCTGCTGAGGGAGCCTGTACAAGCTCTGTCTGTACATTCTCTATCCTGAAAAAAATGCTGAGTACAGATCACATAGAGAAAATTAAATGCCTTGGCACCATTCAAAAGACTGAGTAGTTTTAAGGTGCAAGTGCTCTCTTCAACATTTATTCACTGTACACATCCATTAATTATATTTGACATATGGCATATATAAGAATGTATTGTGAAAACTTGATGATGGGATTGATGATGGTGTGTGCATATATAATAAACCATGGCAGGGCTAGGGTAAAAGGCTCCCTTTCACATGAAGCTGAAGCATGATTTTTTAAAAAATTTTTACATCGAGTTATAGTAAAAAAACATAGTATAATGATGCATCCCCTATCCTGTATTATGACTCTGTTAGAACATGTGTAGGATCCATTAATGTAAACCATTAAGAGTCCATTAATATAAACAGTGTAGAGAAAATAAATTAATTGAATTGACATGACAAGGCATTGCAAAAGTTGTATTCAAATGAGGAGTAGGTTCAATGAATATAAAAAGATCCATGTTGGATAAGACCAAAGGACTATTCAGAATTCAGTTCACAGGGCAGCCATCCAGTTGCATATAGCTGTGAATCTTCCAACGTGTACTTACCAAAAAAGTCTCTGGTTGTGATGTAAAGAGAAAGAGAAAAAGATTATTCACATCACACATAATTTTAAACATCAGTAACATTTATCCATTTTTCCCTAAACTGAACAGCTGCAGATGTTCTGTACTCTTCTCTCAAAGAAGTTGTTTCAACTCCATTATCATTTTGGTTCACATTTTCTACACTCTTAAAACAGTTCTGCAGTGTCCTTTTTGCAATGTGGTAGCCAGAACTGAACATAGTATTTCATGTTGTGTTATGCCATATGCAGAAACATGTAGCAATTCGCACAAGTTTGGAGGTATACACCCAGACCTTATATTAGGACACGATGCTGTACATTACTCTTAACATAATACAAAAAAATTACTGTAAAAATATACCACAGCTTGGAAATAGTTCTTTTTTGTAGTAATACTGTAGTCCAAAAAAATAATAATAATGAATTATTTTCTAGCTGCACAAAGCATGTTTAGTAATAAGCATTTATTTTTGAAAATATATATTTTATGTAACTGAATTAAAATCAAAAAGTAAAATTATCTATGGTTCACTACCAGCCTGATGGTCTTTCTTGTAACTATATATATATTGTAGCTCTGCTACTCCTGTCCTCTGAAGATGCCAGGCACAGAGACTGGCGAAACGTTAGGAAGAATAACCTTCAGAACATGGCCAAAGAGCCCGAAAAGCCCACAACAACCATCAGATCCCGGCCATGAAAGCCTTCGGGAATACATTGACAGCTATCATTTACATTCAAGGTTATGCACAAAGTTGTGCAACTTCATGATCATGAATGCAAACTGCAACTGCAGTTAGTGGTATTTCATCACCGTGCATTACAACATTACATTTATAAACAGCTTTTGCAATATTTTCAGCCAGTTCAGACAGTTAATTTCATAGCCTCTAAAAATATAGAGAAATTTGCTTCTGCCTTAGAAATCTATAATCCTTTTCTTTCTTTTTAGCATAAAGCGACATCAAGAACGCAGAGCTATTTTAACTCCAATTTTAACAGACTTTACTGTACGAGTAACTGCAGCTCCTGCTGTCACTTTCACAAAAGTGATTTCACCAGAGAATTTGCATACAGAGGTTAGTATTGAGTGTTTTACTCAGAGAATGTTTATACCATCTGTCATCTTTCCAGGTCTAATAGTGAAAATGCTACTGTGTGGAAAACATAACGAGTATTGCCTACAATGTTTTATGCTACGATAATGGTCGTTGCTTGAGGAATGATTCTCTCTGTCTGTATCCTGACCCCAAAATCTGCTCCAAAATGTTGGGAGACATATAGGGTAGGTTTGAGGGCCAAAGATGTCGGAGAGATGAGAAAAAATCTAATTACATGAGAAGTCAGCTTGCATTACTGTAGCTCTGTATAATTTTAGATTAATACATTTATTTATTGATATCCTGCCTTTCTTCCAGCTAGCTCAGGATGGTGTGCCTAGTTCTCTCCCACAACCGCTTACCATCACAGATGTGAAACTGAACATGTTAAGTGTTATATGGAAAACATCAGTGTTTTAGGTCTCTGGCTGTGGAGTTAGAGGTTGTAAGTTTGATTCTTCGCTGTGTCACCTTGACAGGAGCTGGACTTGATGATTTATAGGGTCCCTTGTAAGCTCTACAGTTCTAAAATGATGATGATGAACATAAAAGTTAGCAACTTGCTCAGGTCTGAGATCCATACAGGCAAAAAATATATGTGTGGGGACAGGTTTGATCTGTCTTAAATGAGATGTCAAATGCATGAAATATATCATGAGAATTTTTTTCTTGAAGGTTCAGCATCATTATTAAATCATGAGGTGTTTGAAGATCAGCCTAAGCAGCCTTTCCCAGACCCCAAAGATGGGAATGGCAGCTAATGACCTTTTGGCAAGGTGTCCATAGCACCTCCTCCAGATTGTTTTCTCTCTCAAATGCTCCGTGAAAGAAATGTTTTAAGGCTGTTGGGCACATGTGCAGGATGGAAGGCCTTCTTTATACATTCTAATAATGTTCTTGGCTTCAGAGGCCCACTCCTTGCTTTATAGCCATGAACTGCTTGTTCTTTCTGCTCCAGACCAGTTCAATTCAGATTTTATATAGTACTCTTTGAGTTTTGAGGCCATCTAGTAAAGGACTCTAGCTTTAGGACTTGAGATCTGTTCAGTAATAATCTCAGGGATTAAATCTGGGAGCCAATGGAATTTAAATGTGCCCCTGTCCCATAATGTTTCCTACTACTGCAAATAGTGCAGTATAGGGGAATTTAAAGACGAGTTAGGGGATTGCTGAACCTCAAAGAAATTGTTCAGACAAAAATAGCAGATGAATGTTATTCATACTGTTATTCAAGAATATTTTGGCTGTGTGTATTAATTATTGGCTCTATTAAATAGTGGTACTCTAACTATAATTCCACTAAGATGTTAAAAGTGGTTCATGAGCAGCTACAGATGAGTTAAGTCAATTCCTGTGAGTTACCATGTACAGTTTAATTACAAGCCAAGGTTACTTTGTGTGTGTGTGTCTGTGTGTCTGTGTGTCTGTGTGTCTGTGTGTAAAAATGAGCAAGGGCTCTGACAGCTCAGAATTTGATGCAACAAAGAAACAGGACCTCACACATGAAACAAACAAAATGTATCTTAATCATCAAATATCCTGTTGGAAGCATTGTGGTATGCTGTCCCACAACTCCTCCAGGTGGATTTCCTTTTACAGATGGCGCAGAGTACTTTTCTGACTGAAGAGATAAGGAAATGTTAATATGCCCAGTTTAAAGAGCATAAATAGTCTATATTGTGTTTGGTTAAAAAAGAAAATTACATAATTGCATAGAAACAGCTGTTATCCATTGACTGTGTTTTACAAATTTGTTTTTCACAGGAAATCTTAGTCTGTGGCCATTCTTTGGAAGTGAATATGACAACAAGCCTGGACTTCTTCCTCAGTGTAGCTCAAGTACAGCTCCTACAGCAGTTACTACAAACTAATATGGCTGGATTAGAATCGTCCAATAAGGCAGCAGAGGTACATTCTATAACCATGTCAGGCAAAAATAAAAATAAAAAAAAGACAAAAACATAGTAGCTGCTATATTTTTATGTGAGCTTTCTATAACTACTGTAGTTTCTTTCAGAACTACTTTGGTGCATACTACTTTTTTAGACAATAGTGTGTTCTTCACAGTGTATTTTAACACAATAGACATCACACCCTATTAATGCAGCTGAAAATGGCATCTGTTATCTCCCCTAGAATATACACTAGCCTGTGATATGTATTTTTCTGGCCTCATTTTGGCTGCTAAATCATTGTGGGTAGTTGCCTTTTGTAAGTGTTTCTTCAGTATCTTTTCCCAGTTATTGGTTACATCAAAACTGCTAAAATTGCCTTGATAAAAATGTAAACATTTAAAGACCATAACACTCCAATGACATAGAATGGGTTGGATCACCTGGATCTCTGATGGTCAGTTAAGTGTGTGCATCTAATCTTTTGAAGATACACATTTAAACCCCAGTTTTACGCAATTTAATTTGATGATCTGTTTATTTTTATATGTTTATCTTGTTCTTCCTTTAGAAAACTCAGAGCAGCTTATGTGGTATTCTCTGTGTTTGCCCATGCCTGAGTCTGTAGCTCCTTACATTTACTCATGCTACAACATTCAATGGGATTTGACATCTGTAGGTACAGATAACCATTACTGATATGGCAGGAAGTTGCTGTTGGAAGTATTGCAAGCATTAATACAGCAGAGCAGTGTTTCATTATTGTTGAAAGGCTGAATACAAGACATAGAGTGTGGATTTATCTTGGATACTTTGCAAACATAGGGCCTCTTTTGGAAGTTCACTTTTAGAGTAAGTATGCTATGGGAATATTTGCAATAAATAACTTAGAAGGTAGTGTTTCCCATCTTTGTTGGAATGGATAGAATCATAAAACTGAATGCATGCCCAGAATTTTAATTTAGGGATGATATTGTACTTTGACTGTAGAGCAAAGAACCTTTGACAAGAAAACTTGTCCATGTAGTGCTTTCTCATAACCAGTGTGTGTTTCTCTCTCATTTGTGCATTTCTTTCTTAATTGGCACAGACATCTTGAGGTAAATTACTGTTAATTTGATATTCAGCTGTAGAAACTTTGGGTACAATCCAATGGGAAATTCTTCTACACAAGGTCTTTAATGAGAAAGTTGTGCAGAACCTCTCCAAGAACCTCTGGATGGATTGCCCCTATATTTGGCAGATGCATTCACATAGGAAGCCTTAAGTTGCAAGGAGTTTTACATTAAACCAGAAATGCTGGAAAAAAACAAACAGAAAAATGAAATGTTGTTAGGGGGGAAAAGATTGCTCTTTTGAACAAAAAATGTTACTCCTTAACAATAAAGGGTGGTTCAGTAATGAAGAGGAATTGTAAGACGTTAAAACACTTGACAAGGAGCATACCAAAAATATGTCACCCACGAGATAAAAATCTGCTAAAGGCCCAGTGTTATTTGGGAAATTAAATGCACAAAGGATACTTCTGACTGGGAAAAACATATATCTGATGGTATTGATTAATCTTTACCTAGAATATTACTTTGTTTCATTTCACATTGTCAAGAGTAATCATTTAAGTCTCAAACATTCATGAATCACAAAGCAGAATGCTATATCCAAGTCATCTAACACAGCCATGTGTAAACAGGTGCACACAGGTATTCTGTTAGCAAAGAAGGCCATAAAGGCCATGATTTAACGGGAAGCAACCATAAACAGGTATGATCATTGGAGACTTCCTAAAAGTGTCCCTTTTAAGAGCCTCTGTTCCTGCCGTGAACAAATGTTATTTGCACTCCAAATGTTATTGGAGTTCAACTTCCACAATCTAGCAATGCTGTACAGTGCTGATAGGAATTGTACTCCAAGAACATCTGAAGGGCCATAGTTGCCTTTCTCTGTTCTTTTAAAAAATGTCACTTTAACATAGAGGGTGTTTGTGTAATTGCTGCTATCTTGAGGATTATAGTTTCTTTTATCTTCCTCTGAGGTATACATTATTTTATGGCACAAAGCTTTTGTTTTCCATTTCGTTGTCTAGTCGTTTAGTCGTGCCCGACTCTTTGTGGCCCCATGGACCAGAGCACGGCAGGCCCTCCTATCTTCCACTGCTTCCTGTAGTTGTGTCAATTTCATGTTGGTTGCTTCGCAGACACTGTCCAGCCATCTCATCCTCGGTCGTCCCCTTCTCCTCTTGCCATCACACTTTCCTAACATCAAGGTCTTTTCCAGGGAGTCTTCTCTTCTCATGAGATGGCCAAAGTATTGGAGCCTCAGCTTCAGGATCTGTCCTTCCAGTGAACACTCAGGGTTTTCCCTTTACTCCCCCTCAAAGTAATGTTTTTTCCTCGTTTCTGAGGAATTAACAGCAAAATAAGGAGCCAAAATGTGTTCCTCTTGCTATATGTTTTCCTCTTCCCATTAGAAGCTCCCTCATATTTCTCGCAATAGCAGAGGAAAGCCATCTTCTGTGATCTGAGCTGCAAACACCTCCTCCAGCAGAGCCCTTTGAAGGGTCTACACATTGAAAGTTCAAAGAGAAACAACAAAAATATTGCTAGATTGAGCCTGATTTATGATCATGGGTTTTGAAGCTAAATTTATATGGTTTGACTAAATAATGATCAATGGAGAAGAGACATAAATCTGCAAATATAGCACCAAGTTGTAAACATAGGGAAAAATGAAGGAAAATCTAGGACTCCACAACAGATCATTATTAGAAATCAAATGTTAATATTAAGAAAAGAATTGTTTACAAGGAGTCCAGAACGCTTTTGTTTGTATTAAGGAATTATGCTGCAGAATCACTTACAGGTTTTATTTAGTTCTCATGTTGAGTTGTTTAACCTAAACCATGACATGTACTAGATAGAAACTGTAGTTGCCCTTATCCATTCCCATTCAATATATTTTTACATATTTGCTTGGCATATTATTTTACAACATTGTTTTACAAAAGAATAAAGTCAAAATCTACAGTTATATTACAGTAATTGAACAGCAAACTTGTTTAAAAATGTGGGCAAAGAAGTTCAGTGTATCAAGGCAGCCTTGGCTAGGTAGATTTAGAAGCAGTAATTACTTTATTCACAAATATCAAGTAGTCATCAAATTAAACCCACTTCCAAAAGAACTATATGTAAGGAATATTATAAGTGCACTTTTTAAACCAATGGCACAGAGTAAATTAAATGTTTATTTTTAAAAGATTGAAAAACATTCTGTGTAGAAGGCTAGAGATGGACCACATAATTAAGGCCAAAAATTGTTGCCCTTTCATCTATGTAGGTGCTAAGGAACAAATGTTATTTTATATAAGAGTAGCGTTCTGGATTTTGTTTGCTACCTCCTGTTACAATTCTCAGATCTTATTTTATATGAAGTTTTTTATTTTGGTTGAATTTGCTTCCCTAACATAGCCATTCTCTTTAAAGCTGTAATTTTTTGTGTTTATCTGTCACTAAGATTAAAGTATTTAAGAACATCAGGGCTTCTGTGGGATTGTTTAGTTTCAATTAATGTAAGAAAGACCTCACAGTTTTGTTATGTTAAAATTTGCTGTGCAAACATTAATGCTGCATTGCTTAACATAACTAAGAAACATTTAAAATACTCTGGTGTACCACTTCACTGAATAAATATTTCTAGACAGAATGCTAATGAGGAAAGCAGGCATGTTTTCTGTACTAGAATCTCTAACAAGTTACCTTATAAACAAGCATAAATCTCACATTTTGTTCACTTTGTCATCAGGTTTTCTCTTTATAAAACTACAAAGAAATGAGCAAACTTTTGAATTAGTTGGAACTCTGTATCAGGCTGGAATTGAAGCAAACATTTTTAGCAGGAACCAATGAAAATTTGAAGTTTGTAGTTTGTAATAATTGAAAATGGAATTGTGCTGTTACCCAGACTTAAAAATCTCAAGTTGCACTAAAGGTGTAGGGCAAAAAAGCCAAAACAAAAAACAGCTGCCCTTCTTTTTGAAATACAAAGGCCAGTGGTTACTTAAATACTGTATGTTGCATCCACAAGAACTCTGTTCCAGTTAGTATGAATAAGTTCTTATTTTCATATATACAAAGGGGTGGTAGTCATACTTTTCTCTTTCTTCAACATCTTTGATGTTCTGTTGGACCTTGTTTCCCTACTTTAATTCTCTCATGTGATTACTCATCATTTTCTTTGTTTACTTACTAGTGAATGTACATGGCTTGCCTAAGTTAGGAACCAATTCGTTCCACTCACCCACCGACATGCTCTCTTTTTTTCTCCTACTTTACTTCCCCACACACACACTGTACCTCTCCACACTTCACACTACACTAATTCAAGTATTCAGCTCTGTAGTTGCATCCACTTGTGCAGAAATTGAGCTCCTTGTTTAGAGGCTTGAGAATATCACAATTACATTCCTCCAGTTACTACAGTTGAATGAACAGTATTTTCACTGTGTTGTTTGTAAGATTTTTTTTTGTATCATTGACCAAGCCAATTTTCTGGTGCTGCACCAAGTTGCCAAGTGAACAGAATTATATCAGATCCACAGCTACTCATTTGACCACTCAAATGTTCCAATTCAGAAAAACTACACAGCAGTTTTTGCTTGCTTGTTTATTCCATCGTTTGGGTTAGGGAATTTATAACCCACCTTTCAGTAAATTTCTGTGTTGGTTTACAGAAACTCAATTTTTTTAAAAAAGACAAATAAAAATAAAACATTAAAATAACATAGTATGAACAGTAAAAGTTGCCAATTCATTAATAAAATTCGAAATCCACCCCTCTCAAAAAAGGAAAAGAAAGAGAGAGAAAAACACTTTTAGCAGCTATGTAAAAGCAGGTGGTGGCAGTGGTTGAAGTGTAATTCAAGAATTACCATGTTACTTGCTGAATGTTTCTGCAGTGTATTAAAAATAAGCCATCCCATTGTAAACCTATAATGATTTCTCCCTTTTCTGATTTCTGTGT